CTACCGAAACAAGGAGCCAAGTAAGAAGACCCACGCTGGAGGGGAAGATAAGCGAAAGACAATAGCTGCGTAGCCAGGCAAAGTAGAAACCAATAGCATCCCCAAGATACCAACGTAGCCGGCCTACTCCCGGGAAAAATGCAGATTGACTACGGAAAGAAGACCAGACGGCATTTCGTTCAGGTATATTGTGAAGTGGAGTCATATTCTTAACGATTTCCTTCGACTTCATACAGAACAGAGCCGAATCACACTCTTTCAAAGTAACTGCTGATAACGGCAATGGTTTCTCAACAGTGCACTTCGGTATTGGAATAACAGTATCGTAGTTCTTGCACGATGATAGAGCATTCAGAACGCCTTTTTGATCATTATTAAATTTAACCATTCGTGCAGCGAGACCAGCAAGCCAGACCTTTTGACCAGGAGTCAATGAGGCAACGTCAAGGGCTGTAGTTGCAGAAGAAAACATTACACGGACTACGCAGCGTCTAAAGGAATAGATTGGTTGAGAAGAAATACAAATAACAATTGACCATATTCAGGCAGCATTTACCACCGCTTCATTACTACTTTAAAGCTGAGGCGGGTTGAATGCTAATAGGATTTATAATTGCCGCTATGAAACAGGGACTTACCGGCACTGTTCCCATCCGCTAGAACTCCTGAAAGGCCTTGGTTCAACACGCAGGCGGTGTGTTCAAGAAGTCCTTTAGAGATACATAAAATAACGTAGTGCTTCGTATGATCAGGCATTTCATCATGCAAATGTTTATCGGGACAGCAAGGGACCACATTTAGGTTTGCATTTTCGTTGATAAAACCGGCGTTGGATAGTACTTCAGCAATGCGAGCGGCAGCAACTGAATTGTGCTTGGATCGGTGACCAACATCACGTTCTTTGCACGGACAAACAGTCATATAGAACTCGATTGCATCCGCAGTGGATTTATGCATTGAAGAGTTTTCCTTTAAATGTAACCATGAATGGATGCTGCAACATTGACACATAAAAAGGGATGCAAAATGAAATCGCCAGAAAATAAAGCTTTATTTAGAATTCAAACCAATAAAATAGTCAAAGAGCAGCAAAAACAGTGTTTCGCCACATTTAGCAAGAGGCACAGTTTATGGCTGAAGCAGTCTTTTTATATCGTCTAAGTCGGTACATTCATACATTCTCCTACCATTCGGAGCGTCAATGATTTCCGCCTTCTAAAAAAATCAATGAGCACTAAAAGTCCACCATACGTTCTTCAGCAGGAATGCTACACAGTCTACATGCCCTTCATAAACCGCTGCAAGCAGTGGTGTAACACCGTAATTGTCCTTCACCTACAATGATGTAATTGACATTGAATCTTGTCTTACATTTACGTCAGCACCGTTCTTAACCAACAAATCTAGCATTTCTAATTGTCCGAAATCTGCCGCAATGTGAATAGGCCTTCTTCCATTCCCAAGTTCTTTGTTAACATCTTTTATCTGTAGAGAATCAGAAAAAAGACACCTTACATTCTTCAATGCGTCTATGAAACCATTGATATCGCCCGTTTCGATGCACCACCTGAACTTCTCTTCGCTCATTTTGTAATACGTCCTTATTTTGATTGGATGGGTCAGCTCCGTATACGCATAGTACAAGGATGGTTAAGGTCACCAACTGGAGCATTAGAACGATACGCTGGATGGTAGAGTAAAAAGTGTTGAACTTAATAAATAGTTGTCAACAAACACAGAAGCATTAACTCCCCCTTGTAAATTATTCAGTTAATCGGAATGTGTGCTTTAGCTTACCGAACGAGGCAAAAATATTACATAGTGTAAAACAAAAGTGCACCTACTTATGAAAACGCTCTCTTTGGGTTGTGTATGGTCTACGTTGAGACACTGCCTTGGTAATTTCAAAGACTTGTCGAAGAATTATGGGTTCTCACCACTTCACTACCTTATCTACTTAACAAACGACAAACGATTTTATCGTCATAGAACGGCACTATGCTACCTCACTTGCAATAGCTTATTTATTTAACTGCTCATACACACAGCCACTTTGGCATCGACTTCGCTCTCGGCTTCTTGGCTAAGCCCCTGACCATACAACCTCCTCCGCCTCCTGAATGCACTAATCACCCACACCCAAAGCCTTCCTTGAACGTTACCCACCCCTCCCCCCCGAGCCCGAACCACAAATGTCGGGACCAACACCATCCCCCTTCCTGCATTATCTACGTGCCTTACCCCCCAGGCCACCACAAATAAGGCTGCCACCTCCAAATCGCCAGCTCGGAGGCTGCTTGTAGCTACCACCTATTAACCCTTAATTTGGGAATGGCACATCTAACCGCGACCGTTTTACCATTCACCATTGTAAAACACCGACCACACGATACATGAAGCAGGCAACGTTGCATTTGCGGATAGGCGAGTCTCAAAGTTGTTGAACCATTAGCCTTCTTAGGGTGAAGTGAGAGCAATAAAGTAAAGTAAACAACATCGAAATCACAGTTGGGACGACGTGGAATGACTGGGACGCGATACAGCACAATAAATAAACGAAATGCAACAGAACCATGAAATGGCCTGAATTAGTAACTAGCGACGGTCGAGTGCGGTTGTTGCGTGATGACGGCTCCTGTGGGAGGTGGCATCGGTTGCACCGCCGGAGCGTAGGACGAGGAATCAAATTGTGTTTGCCGCAGGTCGTCCAGATTGTAAGGAGGTGCAGCTTGATGCATTGGGTCTGCTAGATCATCAAATTCTTCATCCTAATAAAGCAGAACACAACAAACGATCGTGACGGCCTCTAAAATAGGGGACATTGCTACTACTAGTAGAAATGTACGACCGACCCACAATTAGCAGATGCGACATGAGAACAGGTAAACCTACGCACGCGTAAATTGATTTCATCGGGCATCGGCTCATTGGGACTCGGCTTAAACTTTCCGAAGCAGAAATTGCAGCAGAAACAACAACAGCAGCAGAAGTAGCAACCGGTGATAGCACAGCAGAAGAAGAACAGGGCCTACAACATGAACGCTCAAATGGAAAGATATTCTCCAAACTGCTAAAATGGTACTGAAATTACCTTACACCACTTGCTCGAAAGCATGAAGTAGGTGTTGACATTGTCTTCACCAACCTGTTCTGCTATGGAGAGACCAAGGCTGCCGTACTTGTCATAGATGTTGCGCTTCACTGGGTCTATTAGTGCCCGATAGGCTCTGTTCACATCCTTGAACTGAGTGAAACAGACAAAAAACACCTCCACACAACAACCACAGCAGTAAGCTTGCAA